TGGGCGTGTCAATTTGTTTGCAACAAATTTTTAAGTGACAGAAAATAAATTACAATCACAAAAAAAAATATGAAGAAACATAATTTTATTCATCAAGATTGCGGGTACAATTTTGTTCCTCCTTTGATTCTACTCTCCTGAGATTTATCCATGATTCGAGGGTCGTTAGTGGCATATTTCTCGAACTAGGATGATTTAGATTTGACCTCTATATGAATATTCCATGACTTTTGTTGAATATTCGAGATCTTGATCTTTAAAAATACCCTAGAGTTTTATGGGATATTTTGAGATGTCTTTTAAGGGAATTTAGTACCCTTTATATAGACATGAACTAGGGTTTAGGGTTGAGTAGCCTCCAAGAATTATAATTGAAACTGAACACACCTTCTAGAGTCCCAATTCAAATTGAACACGTCTTGTAGAGTCCACAAAATTTCAATGTCTACACTTGCCATCTGACATTAGCCTAATTTGCAAGGAGCTTTTGATTCCTCTATCTTTTCTTTTTCAAATATTTACCCCATGCAAGGGTCAAATAAATTCACACATGTCATTCTTCTCCTAATAAATAAAAAATACCTATAAATTAGAAGAAGAAAAAATAACTTTACAATCAGTGTGAAGCTACCTTGTCTGAAAATTAAAAGATGGTTCAACCATGAAAATTGTCCATGCATGAGAATGGGTTTAAGATGAACCGTAGGCAGAAATTTTTAAGAGTATGTGTTGTATGGTGGAAAATATTTTTCTGATTTTCTCATATTTGATTGATCAAAATGTTTTACTTAAAAATATATGTAAAAGGAAAAATGACTTAGTTTTGAAAAATCGATTAAACTTATAGTTTAAGAGAAATCGGACTTCCAAAAGAACAGAATCGCCACCTAATTTTTTAGTAAAAAATCAAGAAAAAGGTTAAGAGTTTTCAAAAGATTTAAACAGATAAAATCAATTGAAAAAGGGTTCGAGTTCAATGTACATTCCGAGAAGGTGTTAGGCCCTCGAAATGTCCGCTAACTTGCGGTTGACCGGCGATTTGACTAAAAATGACTTCGACTAATTTTGAGACAGTATTAACTAAAAAAAAGAAATTCGCTTTTTATTTTATTTACTATTTTTTATTATTGTTATTATTATCATACAATTATCTTGAGGGAAATAGGACTAAGGGGGATTTTCCTAAAGGGAAATAAATTAAGCATTGACAAGACTAATATTAAAATAAGAATTAAGTAATAAATATATATACCTTAATTATATAAAATAAGATGAAATGACCATTTTCGGGAATTTAATTAAATTAAACCATAAGATAATCAAATGTTAGTCAAGCACAACAAAATAAATAAGAGCAAGGAAGAGAGTATTGAACTAGGGTCTTTGGCCCAAATTCCCCAAATTTGTTGAACCTGTCCTATTCTAAAAATTTCCGACATGATTTTGGGCCTATTCGATCAAGATTCTGCTGCCGGGCCATTTTTTCGGACCTTTTGGGGCCCATTTTCGCTCTCAAGCAACTGTGTATACAGCAAAGGTATATTGTTGTATATGGGTCGTATTTTGAGCTTTTTTTCAGTATATTGGACTGTACACTCAATGTATACATCCTAATGCTGCTCCTCGAGCTCCTGTATTAATTTTTGGACTTGTATATTAAAATCCTCCATGTATACTAGTGTATACTGCCGCATACAGTAAGTATACAGCCCTTTCCTTGGACTTTTTTAGGCCTGAAAAATCCAATTTCCAGCCCTTATTTGTTGTTCTCGACCTGTACACGTGCTTCCTCAGTTCCATTTCCAAACTTTGACTCATTTAAAGTTGACCAAACAAGAGGCAAAATTAGGCTTCCATGGCCCAACTCGATATGCAAGGAGGGAGGGAGTCCACGAGGAACTCGGATGTGATTCATAACAAAAGAAAATAAAGAAATGAATTAGTAAATGAAACTCTTAAAATAGCTTATAAAGAAAACGCACAAAACATGGCAGAATCATAAGAAAGAAAGACAATTAATGACTAATCCATAGCAACCAATTGATGAATACACACATTAAGAATCACATAAGTCAAAGGAGAAGAGCAAACGTTAAGAAAATAAGAAACCAACTTACTAGTCAAATAAAATTAAAGACAACACATGAGTAATACTCAAAGATTAGCACCAAAACATAAACAACCAACAGGACCCAAACCTTTAATTCAATTAAATTGAAAACCAAAAAATGACAGAGGCATCAAGGAGTATGCTGTAAGAAAGTTATTTGGATATAGCAGGGAAATCTGAATCATGTTACTATGCAACTTAAAACAGTAAGAAACCAACATAGACAACCATTACGTTAGCCCTTTTTGAAAGATGAAACAGGGCATTCACGAAGCTATTTTAGAGTCTCGAAATTTAACATCTCTTGGCAACTCGAAATTCAAATATTTCAAGCTCGTTCGATGTTAAAAAGCTTAGAATAAACCTCAAAACAAGCAGACTCTTGAAAGGAATAACAACTTCATGACTCAACAGACTGGTATAAGAAAATCCGATGTAATAAGAAATGCATTTAACAATATTCAATTAAGCATATAAGAAGAACAATAATAAGCAAGCTCGATCCAAGAAGCGGAGAAATCACAACACTAAGTGCAAGACCACGAAAAACTCGAATTGACATTAAGATCGAATCATTCCAGAAACAATATGTATAGCCTATTAAGATTACCCATGTTCAACCACGAGTAATAACAGTGACACAACCAAAAATTAATGAGTTACATCGCGAATAAAAATAATGACGAAGAGGAAACTATGGAGAGAACATTACCTTTTTTGGAGCAACGGCTGGGACTCGAGCTTCTAAGAACGATTCCACCACCACGTGAAAGAGTCCTCCGACGAAAACTTTCAACTTAAGAGAATAGGAAACTCAAAATCGTAGTTTGAGATTAGAAAATTTAAATCTAATTTATGTATTTGTGATCTATATATATATATATATATATATGTATTGTCTTTTTTTTTTCTCCCCTTCACTGAACGTAAATGGAGGTTTATATATGAGAAATTGGAGCTGAGTCAAGGGGGAAAACGGGAGGGACTTTGGGATGAAATTCAAAATTTGAAATTCGAAATCTCTCCCGGATCAGGCTGCCAGCCAGCTCGATTTAGTACCAAACTTGTACCAAATGAACAGATTTCTTAACGGGAAATTGATTAGAGCCGTGCGATTTTTGAGCAAGGACGAGTGAATCGCAGAGATAGGGACACGTCGAGAGGAGAGAGACGCGCGCTACTGCTGGATCGATTTTGGTGGGCTGCCGATTTCTGGGCTGAGTTCGCTGGTTTGCTTCTGGGTTCATTTTTGTCTGGTCACGCGCAAAGAAGAAGAAGAAGAATGTGGGGGTCGTTTGTACGTTGTATTGTTGGTGTATTGTTGGTGGGCTGTTGTTGTTGTTATATTGATGTTGGAGTTGAAATTGAATGGAGTGGTGGGCTGATTTGGAATTAAAAAAGGATGGGCTGCTGGAGATTTAAAGCAAGGCCCAAAATTGGTCTCAAAAGAATTGAATGAATTGGTAAGAAAGGGACTAGAAAATAGCCACATGATTTGCAATTATGGCCATAGAAATTAAGAAGTTAGCCAAATTGAGTATAATTTAGAGAACTCGACTAAAATTTAAATAAGACGAATTCATATAATTAATTGATGAGCTTCTTAATTTCAACTAAATAAAATAATTAATTTAATTATTTATTAATAAAGCAAAAATATAAGTATTAATTAAATTAATTAAATATTTAATTAAAACAAAATCTTTTTGAGGCGACTTTCGAATAATCATAAAATATACTAATTATATACATAATTATGCGAAACATATATATTATCTAAAAATTATAAAAAGTGACAAAACTATTTAAAACAACTTGCAAACTATATTTATTTATTTTATTTATTTATTCAAAATTTTATAAAAACTAATTATTTTAAATCGTTTGAAATTGAAAAAGCTCGAAATGATTAATTTATATTGTGGGGTCCAAAATTGGGTGTCAACACAAAATATTTTGAAAACATTTTCTCCGGAAAAACAAGCTTCTCAAAAATATTCTTTTGCTTATTTATCATACACTAAAAAAATTTACGTATGCTCCTTAACTCTCTAATAAAATGTGTTGGGTCATATGTGCGGTTATGTTCAAACAAATATTAATTTGAAATGGCTACGTGTGTGGCTACGGTTCTAGCCCTTTAATCAAATTATTGTGTGGGTGGGTGGGAGGAGTCGTGTTGCAAATTTTGATATTAGTCAATAAAGGAATTGTGCTAGAAGCACACGATTTTGGAAGTACCTAACACCTTGCCCTTAATTTAAAGAATTTCTTATTAACTTTAGAATTTAAATTTTTCTTTTGATTCGAGATTCAAAAAACTGTGACTTGAAACATCAAAATTTAATACTGCGACTATAAATAAATAAATTAATAATTTATTTTCAAAATTGTCACATCAATTAGAAAACCCTTCAAACCTCTTTAAAGCAGTGTGTGACAATAAATAAGAGAAGTCCTCCTATCTTAGGTGCAACTTGTAAGGCAGTTAGTTATACTATTAACCCAGCCATAGTTCTTTGGTTATATCGTCTTTAGCAAAAATACTTTACTAGCTGTGTAAACATCAATTAAGTTTATGTCCCTTTACATAGAAATATTATTTTGCAACACTGGTGAATATTAATTGGGTCCAAAGTAGAGATTAGTTACTAAATTAGCTGGAAATGAAGAAGAATGAGGAAAAACTCAAATAGTTATCTTGTTCTCTTAATTGAATTGCAATTAAAATCGCCCCAATATATATATTTTATTCAAAGGATTGAGTCGAATACAACAAAAATTATATTGCATTAGTACTTGATAATCATGCACTCAACCCCATCTCAATATTGTATAACAGAGAGTCCCACAAAATTTTCATGTCTAGCGAAAATCAGGGGCAAATAGCTTATACAGGCACATCAGAAGGATACTCTTCTGGGTATTTTTTAATAGTATCTCTAATAAATCTCTCTTGTTCTTGCAAATTTGATGGAATTTTGTCATAAACATCACCAAATAAGTCTGTCAATGGAGGTTTCTCCACTTTCTCTGCAGCTTGAATTGCTTCCACTACCTAAGATATCAAAAAACAGGACAAAAAACAATCATATTAATTTTTTTTGGCAGATTTTAGTACGAAATAACGCGATGGTGGTTGAATCTTGAACCTGTTTTCTGATGTTTCCGCGGAGTTTAGTTTCATTTTGATCATCCCACCAGTCATTTGTTTGAATCCATTTTCTAAATCTGGTTACCGGGTTTTTCTCTGTTCTCCATTGCTCTATTTCCTTTACACAACGATACTTTGTTGAATCATCAGATGTCGAATGATGGCTTACTCTATATGTCATGGCCTGCAGAGAGTTATGAAGTAATACTAAGTTGAAACCTTTTTTTCATTTTCACCCTTACTGCTCGAATAATAAGTAGTTTAGACAAATACGTCTATTAAGTACATGTCGTCTTAGAGGGTTTGTAAAAACCTTTTAAGACGACAGGTAATATGAACAAGAGGTAGTAACAGAGGAGTTAAATTTCACCTCAACTAATATTGGTCTTTGCTCCTTTATTGCTATTTGACGTGCAGCGCGAATAGCACTGTAAACTGCTAGAGCATCATTGCCATCAACGCGAATGCTTCTGATCCCATATGCTTGCCCCTTAATAGCAATTCCATCACCTGAAATTGAAATGAATACGAGACATTTCAATATTTTGTGTTTTGTAAAGTAGAGACTCTAAAAATGGCGAAATTATTGAATTAATAAGCTTGTTATTTACTTCGAAATTGTTCTGTTACAGGAGTGCTAATGGCCCATCCATTGTTGCGGCAAAGAAAAATGACAGGGGATTCCATTACTGCTGCAAAATTCAAACCAGCATGGAAATCACCCTGCAAAGTGAAAGAAGTTTAATTCCATCTAAGGAAGAAAATCATGTCAATAATAGCGTTAGATTTCTCATATGATCACTCAACTAATAGTTATATTATCTCATAAAGTCATTTTTCTTTAAAAAGAAAGTGATATTCTAAGATAATACTATAGTACATATTAGTTAAGTGACGATCTGAGAAATCAAATATGTGTGATTTTATCACCTCACTGGTGCTACCATCACCAAAATAAACCACAACACAAGCTTCCTTTTTATCCATTTTCAGAGAGTATGCCACACCAGCAGCCTGTGGAAGCTGTGTGCTGAAACCCAAAAAAAAAAAAAAAGGAAATTTGCAGCTGTGAATTGCGCGTAATTCTAAATGTGATACTAGGAAAATTAGGGAAAAGGATTTGAAAAAATCATACGTGAGAGGAGAGGAAACAGTGAAGTAATTGAGCTTATTAGAACCATAATGTATAGGCATTTGCCTGCCTTTTCCATAATCATCTTTATTTCCGAATAATTGGTCTGCAAATTCTTCAAGAGTGAAACCGCGCCATAAAAGAACTCCTGGCTCCCTATACTGCAATACATATAACAAGAAACTTCAATCTTTTTATATATGTTCCGCGCCATTGAATGATATTCTTGATTGAAAGGACTAAACTGTTTGACAAAAGAGTCAAAATCAGCACCATACTAATTTGGCCACTTTATGAAAATGAGTATATGAATATAATTATCTTTTAAAATTAAACATCGAGATGAAATAAGTCATGGGACCAGCAAACGGAACTGAGAGCTGCTCAAGGCAAATGTTCTTGTTCTGAATATAAAGTAAGGCTGATCTTTCACAAGAACTCACATCGACGAGAATTAGGAAGAAAAAACTAAGTACCTGAGGCAACACAATGTCATCCGGAGTGAGAGCAGCAGCAGAAGCTATGTTAATAGCTTCTTCTCCAGTACTTGTTAAGTAGAAAGATAACCTCCCCTGCCTTTGTGCTTCATAAAAAATTGTGTCCATTATTTGAAGTGCTACCATAGTTGAATACAATTTTACGGATTATTAATCGTTTCACCATCTACTTGAACACGTGTTACATTGTTTTTATACTGTTAGTCCATATTTGATAGTAAGAAAGTTCTAAAAATAGTTCAAATATAACAAATTTTCTACTTAAAAAGAGAAACACAAATTTGAATTTATGAAAAATTAAATATGTTGAGTTGTATACCTGCTCAAATATACTACCCGGAATTATATAGCCATCATCATCAAGGACTCGATAGCAAGGAAGCCTCTTTTCAAATGACTCTGAGATAAACTTCATCCGAGTTGTAATTGGAACCCTTCCTCCAGGGAAATTCAAAGTTTGCTGCTGATTCAATAGTAAGAGTTCGCTTGTGTTAGCTGATTAAAAATAGTTACACGGAAATGGGAACCACCCTCTGAGCTTAAGTATTAATCCTCAATGATCGATAGTGTAAGTATTGATGTGTTGAGAAATACTTTTAAGTGTTAAACTTGATTTATAAAAATAACAAAATACATGCATGTTTGGATAGAGGTATTGAATATGAAATTAAGGAGTTATAGTCTATTTAGCCAAGTTTTGAGGAAGTAAAATGCTTTTTCTTTAAAAAGTGCTTAGTTTAGAAAATTGAGGTGTTGTTTTAAGGAATAAATATGCTTTTTTGAATAGTAGCATAAATTAATTTTCAAAAGTTGAAAAACTATTTTTTTTTTCAAAAATATTTTGAAACTTGTCCTAGCTCAAATTATTGTTTTAATACTGATAAAAGCATTTCTTGAAATGATTAGCCAAAATAATATTTTAATGTCCAAAAGCATGCACTTGGGAAAAAATATTTTTTGAAATAAGCAAATTGGAAACTTGGGCAAACAAGCTTGCTGATGGTAAACACTTATATGTTAAAAAGTACTGAAATATTTTTGAAGTTATTTATGAAAAATATAATTTAAGAGTACTTTTTACATAAAAATGACGAATAACAAAAATAGAATAAAGATAATATATTTTTGAGAGAGAATAGAAAATTTACAAAAGATATAAAAGATAAATATGTAAAACTTGATCAATACAAAAGTGCTTGTAAGATGTCAAATGATAAGTTAGGGATAACGTGTCTCAAATTATTTGTCGAGTTTTTTTTAATTAATAATTTTTTAACTATTTTATCCTCATTAATGTCTTAAGATATAATCTCTTTTCATTAAGTACTCCATATATCTATTTGAAGTGTTTGTAATCTTTAAGAACAATTATTATTAAGGGTAAAACGAAATAAATAAATATTTTTTTCTTAAAATTTTAAAATAATAATAATTTGACATAACTGTTTCTAAAAATCAGAATAAATAATTCGTGTAATTGAAATGCGAAATATAGTTAGACGTCAAAACCACAAAAATAATTCACTACATAATTGAAAGAGACAAAATACCTCCTTTGTGGAATTAAATAAACGAGTAAATTTGTGTCATGTAGCAAATCACATCACTGAATAAAAGTTTGTATCGTCATAATGCATTATTTAGTTTTAATGTTAGAGAAAACAGTAAAGAATGTAGCTTACATTCTGTACAATAATTTCTACTTAATCATCATAATTCTTTTAATATTTTAAATTTATCTTTAAGATTTGTGTGAAGACATGAAATATCAATACTATAAATATAAATTATTTAATACTTTATGTAGTAGCCATTGATATTATCAAGTTCACCTAAGTCCCTCCTATCCGTTTCATTTTATATGCTATAATAATAATAATTCCAAAATAAATTGGAATTGGTTATTTTTAGTTGTCATATTTTTCGCTTTCATATTATAGCATTTATAATCACATAAAATTTTGAAAAGAAATAAATTCTTTTAACATGTAAATTGTGGGTTAAATATGTAATTACAACATATCAAAACTAATTTTAATATCTGGCGGTGATCTTGTCATGTCACTATAACTCTTTTTGAGAGTATCCAAATATAGTGTTGGAGTGTTCAGTTATTAGGTGTGTTGGATAACATTAATATCCTGTTCTGACAACGCCCATGAGAGGATAGGTGTGTGTTGGGTTTATTTCCCCGAGTTTCTTATCATAAATAGGTTTTCTTCTTAGGAAAATGTTTAGGAGTGACTAGTCCTTTTCTGGTAGGAAAAGACCTAGGATTCTATAAATAGAGATTTGTTCCTTCTAACTTAATCGACATTCACAATGTAGTCCTAGGGGTTTTGAAGGGTTTTAGTTAGAGGGAGAATTTGTGGGACACAAGTGATATGTTATCACTTGTGTGAACCTTCTTGTATTCCGTGTGAATTGGTTGAAGTTATTTCTCTCTATATTTTGTACTCTCATATTCATATACTGGATGCTCATCTCCTTTGTAGATGTAGGTCGGTTGACCGAACCACGTTAAATTTTTGTGTCTTTTGGTATATTTCTCGTTTATCTTCTTACACATGGTCTTTCGAGATTTGTTTTGTTAGCTTCCACATGACACCTAATTATTTCGATCATAACAGTGTGGCCCTAGTGGGAGTCATTATCGAACATGGCGCGCTTCTGTGGTAGACTTAGTTAAGAAATATATAAAGCCATGTCTTTGCTATTAGTTATAGCTTTTGGCATAACACTAATCGATTGATCCTAATAAGTGGTATTAGATTCAAGATCATAGGTTTGATTTCAAATGGCTACATGTTGCATGAAACAGGTGTTGGAAGGGAGATTGTTGGGTAACGTCAATATTCTGCCTATTGCAGGGCCCACAAGAAGAGTAGGATAGTCCGGGTGGAAGTCGTGATCGAACATGAAACTTACGTGGTGGACTTAGTTAAGAAATAAAATTATGCGTGAGACCTTACCTGATCATCTTCATCATAGTTATCAAGTTGCAGCTCTCCAGCTTTGATGGACTCAAAACATTTCTGCTGTATGGAAATGACTGCTGACTTTTTGGTGTAGTATTGGTGCCAGCATTTTCTAGTTCTCCAATATTGTAGAAAATGATTTAAGCTTCTTGATTTTGAAAACAACATCTCCATTAATATTATTGAGATAATTCTCTTGAAGAAGAAGCTCCAAGCTTGAGAGAAGATGATTGCAAGGGGTTAAGCCTCAAGTATATATGTATACATTATGGTACAAGTTTATGTTGCATTTAAATATTGTATATTTCATATTTTAATTTATCTTTCTGATTTTGATTTGATTGGGAATTTAAGAAATTAATTAAAAAAATAGAAAAATTACATAAGTGAATAGAGCTGTCAATATGGGCTAGCCCACCCCATCCGGGCTGACCCATACAGGCTTTGACATTTTACGGGTCAGGCCGGGCTAGCCCATTTTTGGTGTGGGCCAGAAAACGATCGGCCCAGCCCACAAGTACGTGGGCTACAGGCTTGCCGGGCCAACCCACTTTTTTTAAAATTATATTTTTTTTATAATTATTAAAATAAATTATAAATTATAATTTTAAAATATTATCATAAATATCGACAAAACAATATTACATGGTGTTAATGTTACTACTTGTTAATCAAATTCACAAATAAAATTATCTTTATAATATTTATTAAGGTTTTTCAAATAAAAGTATAAATATCTAAATATGAATATTAACATAATTGTTTTGTCACATTAAAACACAAAAAATGTGACAATATTCCAACCATAAAAAAGTTAAAAATAAACTCCTTAAAAAAAATCATGAAACTTATGGCGTATCTAACACATCATGAAATTTATGGCGTATCTAACACTTCATGATCATCTTCATCAAGCATATCTGAATCAACTTGTGGCAAGGTTGTTTTAACATCTTTATTTTCATCTGCAATTTATATGCGGTTTCAATTAGTTAAATATTAAATAGATTTTGAGTTTGGACTCTCTTTAATTTTAAATTTTAAATTATATTATATTTTTAAAATTATTTTTATTTGGCCCACGGGCCGGCCCTACCTATATTTCTTAAGCCCACAAATCAGCAGGCTTATTCAGGCCGGGCTAAAAAGCCCTTTTCTTAAATGGACTCCAAAAATCTTAGCCCAGCCCTATTAAATCCCGGGTTAGGCCAGGCCGGCCCAACGGGCCTAGCCCATATTGACGGCTCTATAAGTGAAGGTCTTTTATTTAATAATTACCACTTTTAAGTATACTTTTAATTTATTATCATTTTTGTCAACTTTTAGCAATACTGGTTTAAAACAATTTTGTTCCTTTAAACTTAGCAAAAAGTGCTGTCATTCGCAACTTTTAGCAATACTGTTATTCAGCCAAATTGTTATATGTGGTTAAAAGAATAATGTTGACATATGTCGTAAATATTTTTTAAAAAGTGTACACGCAAGTGATTTTCCCAAAAAAATATTAAGATTGTAGTTTTACAATAAAGATACATAAAAATATATTAAAATATTATACAATTTTATTATTTTAAATATGTCATTATATATATTAGTAATATATTTTCACTTTTGTTCGGCCATTTTAGCGTTGAAATTATACACCAATTAATATAAATATCATAATAAAATATTCACTTTATTTGATACTTTCCTTTTACAAATTATAAATTAAACAAGTAAAAATCAAGAGTAATGTATATATATCATTTACCGGAAATTCCAATATATATCCACCCAACATGAAATCTGTAACTTCTGGACCCTTTTTGAAATAATAATTTTCTTTTATTTGAAAGCAGAAAACATATGTCGAAAAATATTTGGAATAACGAGGCGTATGGGTTATCATTCATGACATGTACTTCTCAGTTTATTTTACTAGTCTATTATATTAAAAATATTTTTTTATTTTTATATATCAGTTACTTATTTGTCAAATTATTTCTAAAATTTAAAATGGAATGTCAATTGCAAATTTACAATAGAACACTAATGTCAATTATTATAATTTTAAAAAAAGTGTGCAACATTCGAATTGAAAGAGTAAAAGTAAATGAAGATTGAAGAGAGTATAATATTTAGATTTTAGACTATTATAATTCTTGTGTTGTACATAGCTCAATGAAAATAAGTAGTTAGTTTTTCTTCCTAATCTTGTTGATGTAAGTTCTTAGGGAAGATCAGTCTTTCTTTATATTCAGACTAAGAACATGTGCCTTGAGCGAACTCTTATTTATGTTTGTCGATCCCATGCAGTGGCAGATCCAGCATTTTAAGATTGTTGATGCTCAATGAAGGTAGATTTATTCTAATCAATTGTTTTTGCCATTTTTAATATTTTTGAAAAATCAAAAAACAGGGTCATCTGTCTCTTGTTTTTACCGACTTTGTCTGTAGCTTTTTTTAAATCAACGAAAGTCAAACTGATGATGTACAATACTCAATTTGGCATCGATTTTCCTTACAAAATCGATCCTGGCCCTTGATTTTGGCCCAATTTTTTAAGTAGATTTCAAAGTTGGGCTTGGAATCACTGGGTTCACTTAGTTAATGATATAGTTCAGACAGGAATAGTTTAACCCAACTCAATTAAGTGTGCAATCTGACTTCCATATAGGCTGACCCAATTCCTTATCAAGATGGCAAAGCCCAATTTCATCTTCTTCTTCTTTTTGGGATAAAGTGCTCCCTAACAAAGGCAACTTCATACTCAAGGAGATTCGAACCTGAGACTTTTGATTAAAGATGAATGAGTACTTATCACTCAAATCTGAATTCTCTCCTGCTTTTTGAAACACCCACAACTCCATCAATTTTCACAATTCATATATATTTTTCCCATCAATTTATTTTTAAAATGTAAATTGGTTCTCCAACATCAAACTATAGACATGTTTTCTGGTGACACACATATTCGAGATTTTAGATGAGCAATTTTCACATATAGCAAACATAAAAATCATATTTGTATGCTATAACTATAGTTTGCATAATTGCGTTCCATAGCAAATTTTTTGTTTGTTCTGGAGCTTTTGATTTGTATAATTCACTAGAAACATCCAGTTTTATACAAATTGTTCTGTTATTGTAATTTGTATAATAAGATCTGTATTTGTATAATTATAAGTGTATAGAATGAAAATATGTGTATTTATATTTGTATATACACTTTTCTCCCGCTTTATACAAATATAAACGCATTTTATACATTTCATACCGATCGAAATGTATAAAATGACTAATTGTATATCGAAAATGACTAATTGTATATCGAATCAAATGACAAAAAAATGAGATATTTACTGCGAATTACAACTAAAATAAACTATAACTATAATATTTAATTTGAATTAATAGTTTGTTATTTCATACAATTTTTCCATTTTAGATCACCATTATAAGCCAAATTTGAAACAATTTCAAGCTAAGCATATGTTGTCTAAAGTTAGATCTCACAAAGTCAAACTTCTGACAATGTGATTAAAGTTCAGACACGTATAACTTAAGTTCTGTCAATATATCTGAACTTAAGACGTGTAATTTTTTAAAACAAATAGATACAAATTAAATAATAATGTCCAAATATGATATCTCGTAAATATTTTAATTTTTTTTTTTCTCCTCCCACCAGATAGTTTATTCATATGGTGACAATTTTGTGAATGCGCAATCTTTGATTTCGGTTAGGATAAGGGTGTGTATAGATCTGTTCGGTTTTAATTATTATTAGTTTAGTTTATCGATTTTTGATTTTTAAATATGTTAAATCGATAACCAAATCAATAAGATATTTGTTATCGATTTTTGGTCTTTAATGGTTTGATTTTCGGTTTAACCAATAAGAAAATGCTTTCAAAACAAATATATGATTTGTCCAATAATTTGACGCGAAATAAAAAAAAGAGAAATCAAATTTCTCATTGAGTACAAAATTTTTGCTTTGTGTAGTAAAAGTATAGAAAATACTCACAATTCACAACCCTAGTCATTGCGTAACCCTTGATGTCGTCGTTGCAAACCCTAGTCATCGTCGTTCTTAGTTCTTACGTTGTGAACCTAAAGACTAGAGCAATACTAAAATCTAAAGGATAAATGCCGAGAACATAGTTAAGTAGTGTTAATTGTGTAAGGTTCTTATAGTTATAGTCTAATATGGTGATTATATTAATGTTTTTGTTTGATATTTATCTATGACTAAAAAATAAAATAGTAAATTATTATATTCTTAATGTGTTATCGGTTAACCCAATAACCCAATATTAAAAAACCAATATCAAATCAAATAATCCAATAATTTGTTTCTATAAAATCATTAAATAACCGTTAACCCAATAACCCAATACAATAAGCTAATAATACTTTTTTTAATTCTGTTTATCGGTCGGTTTTAATTTTTGCACACCCTTAGATTAGGTTATTGATTTCTATCTTTATATGATTTGAAAAAAAAAAGTTGTTTTGACATATATGAAATGTTCATATCATGTCCACAATCATATGAGAATCGATTGTTATTTTAATTAAATTGAAAGAAAATAATTGAAATTAAACTAAAAGAATTAACATTATATAATTCTCACCTATTTAAAAATACTTGGGTGCAAACCTTATTTGATCTCCTTATGATGTCTGCCACATACTTATTGAGTAGCAAAGCCGCAAAAAAAAAAAATCGAATCATTTGAATAAGAAAAGAAATATTTGCAAGCAATCAATTATAGTTCTTAAAAAAGCATATAGTATTTGAGACACTAGTTATTGGTAATAGTATTAATGTATTTTTACACGTAAGGTGTGTTAGGTATCGGTTTTTTGTTGATTATTTAAAAATACGTTTTGGATAATATATTATGCTTCCATACCAAAATAAATTAAATAAGTTGCGTTTGTTCTCTTATAAATTCATTTTTTTTAAAAATTATCCTAAAACCATATATGGAAAACATTTTTCATAACGAACACAATACCTATAAGCTATGTTTATTCATATTTGTTGTATGGACTTTTATGAAATATAGTGTATTCTCTCTCCATGTGATTTTATATAAAGATATATAGTTGATTGAAACAGAATTTTAAAAAGACAAAAGACTCTTTACGGTAATAAATATCTCATCATGACATTTAACTATTAAAATATATTATTAATGAAAAGATTAAATGTTTTTTAAAAAGACTAAAAGTGTAACATATATAGTACTAATCACTTTATAATATCTTATTATAAAATCAATTATAAAAATTAGTAGATTTTTAGAGCTAGCTTAGTCCATTAAGCAATGAAGAGGTGTATTAGTTTATTCAAAGATACGTGTGCGTTTGAGGTATATGAGAATGGACAAGTGATTCTTTCAATGCCATAGGAAAAAGGAGACCAATTATTTCCACACATTAAGGACAAAAATGAGTAAATTCAGGACAAAAGGAGGTCCTACCCACAACTACCTTGATGTTCAAATTCAAATAAATTTACTCCAGCACAATTTACACCACTAACAAAGTGTCAAGTTTCTAGAATATATGTGCCATTTTTTTGCTATGAGAGAGTGGAGAAAATGACAAGAATGGTCCTTTTTAAGTACATCTTAGGGTGATTTTAGTCCAAACACAATAATAGTTATAATTTCAACATATGGGTCTAGAGAAGCATGTATACAAAGCTTATTTCTATTTTGAAAGACAAAAAAATTGTATCTAATAGATCTATTAATACTAGGTATGAAACTAATTTCAACATGTTGGTCTAGAGATAAAACTTATATTCTGGATGAAAGGAGAAACACTCAATAACTTATTAGCCTTCCACCCTGGTTCTCGATCACCACAATTTATTATCAAGTGTCATGTCTTTGATAACTTAAAGTTGCATTATGTGTTTTGCCTAATCACCTCCCTTCAAGACTTTTTAGGCATACCCCTTCCTTTCCGTATCTTGTCCTCCATGAGGATCATTTTTACCTTAGTCCTTATACCTAGTATATTCATTTCTCATATTATCTTTTCTCATATGCCACATTTTGGTCCAAATACATTTCTAAAAGTTGCAGAAATGATGACTTAAGTTTGACAAATTGAACATCTTTATCTCCATATCAAGTATACATTCAACAAACTCTGGTTAATAGATTTAACAGAAATTGTGATTATTATTTTTTAGTATGAACTCACATTTGAGGTGAGTATTTTGGCTCTTTTTTAATCTATTTCTAGTGGGTGGTACAATTTTTAGGAGGTGTAATTTCTACTAACTGTTTTTTCGTGTTTGTATGCTGCAGTTATTGGTATTTTCATTTCTGAGATTTAACAAGACTTTCCATATAATTTAACAACCAAAGTTTGTTAAAAAATTTACAAAGACTAATTTGCTTACTTTTGAAAATTTTAGATAGCAAGTACATTTAAGAGACCAATTTAAGCATATTTTTCATATATAATGGACCATTTTGTCATTTTCTCAAAAATATTGATGGAAAAAATCATACATTTGGAGCATTTTGTGGTTCATATATGTAGATTATTCTTTCGGTCTATACTTTAATTGGACAACTTTTCTTTTGAGGTAATTTTCCACATTCCTTTCTCTCTCCTCTCTTTTTCCTTCTTTTGTTTCAAATAATTTTAAAAAGTTACTCTCTTCCTTCCTATATAATTTCGTTCTTATTAAAAATAAATTTTCTTTAGTACTTGTCATTTCATAAAATTAATACATAAATGAAACAATACTTTTTATTTTACGTTTGAGAGTTATTAGCTTTGGAAGTATGTATGTGACCAACATAGAAAACTAAGTAATTACTTCATGTTCATTGATCATATTAATTAATCAAAAGAAATTAATTTATATTCATTAATTGAAAACTTGACTTTAAGAATACTAAATAAAAGAACAAACTTTTCTAGTTATTTAAAGAACGGAAAAGGGTCAAAATTGCCCCCGAACTATATGAAATAGACCATTTATACCCTTCGTTATATTTTGGGATAAAAAATGCCCCTACTGTTATCCTAAGAGACCACAAATACCCTCAAGAGTTAACACCCCAAATTTTTGTTGACGTGGCAAGCCACATGGGACTAATCCTTCCACCTAAGCGTTGCCAACTAGGATTCACTACAAAAGAACTAGGCCTTTAGCGGCAACAACAGTCGCCACAAAAGCCCAGAAAATCGTCACTAAAAGTTTTTAATATTAAATTCTAATTTTGTGTTTTTTTCTTCATTGTTTTTAAAAAACCAAATATGATATCGATTAAGTAGGAGTTTGAAGACACTATATGTTTTATTTTTATGTCATATGTAAATGTATAAAATGTACAATGATGCATTATATATATATATATATATATATATATATATATATATATATATATATATATAGTAGGAGATTTGAATCGAGAAGTAATTTTGATTATTTTTCGTAATAATATTGGATGTTTTTAATATGGATATTGCAAGTTATTTATTTTAGAAAATTAGGTCGCAATCGAATATTAATTATCATATTTTTTTGTTGAAAAAATAGGTTTTACTAGCAAATGGTTGTTGGAGCCTTAGTCGCCACTAAAAATCACTCATAACCTTTAGTGGCAATATTTTGGGATTTCGTGGCAACTTTGTCGCCACTAAAAGTCAAGTTCTTTTGTAGTGAATCTTAGTTGGCAATGCTTAGGTGGAGGGATTAGTCTCATGTGGCTTGCCACGTCACTAAAAAATTGGGGTGTTAACTCTTGAGGGTATTTGTGATCTCCTGGGATAACTGCGGGGTATTTTTTATCACAAAATGTAATAGAGGGTATAAATAATCTATTTCGCATAGTTCAAGGGCAATTTTGACCCTTTTCCCTTTAAAAAATGTAAAATCTAAAATGGCGAGAACTAAATAGGACTGGATGGATGGAGTAGGACCTAACAAACAAAAAGATGCATTAAAAAGGAAGTGACAAATGGACCAAACACAATTGAAGAACAAATTCTTCACACCTTAATTAATTACTCTCTTCATACACACATTTCCATTTCCATTTCCTTCCTCCAACACTAATCAATCATGTTTAATCCAAGAAAACAACTACCCAATATTCATAATCCTGTCACAACCTTAAATGACACTCACAATTTTGATTTCCATGTATCACAGAAACATGGAAACATTCAATCTAGAGATCAAAAAATTGAAGATGATGATGAATCTGGTGCTTCTTCACCAGCCTTGTGGAAAAATAGTCCATCAAGAAGTCCAGTACATCCCATAAACTATAGATCACTTTCGCCAAATTCTAGAACTCAAGCTATAGCTAGAGGGCAATGTGAACTCATGGAAATGGTCAAGAACATGCCTGAATCTTGTTTTGAGCTTTCTTTAAAGGATCTTGTCGAGCAGACAAAATCCTTTGAATCTCAAAAAGAATGCTTAATTAATAGTAACAGGGAGAAAAATCAAGCTGTGATGCAGAACAGAGTGAATATTAAGAAGAATGAACAAATTAAGAAAGCGAAGATGATGATGAGAAGTACAAGTATAGAGAATCGAGGGGTATTTATCAAAATGGTTTCCCCTGTTTCTTTGAGATCAAAGAAGACGAAAAAGAAGAATCCATCAGCAAATACAACTAGAGTTTCTCCTAAACCTGAAGAATGTGAAAATATTTCTTCAAAGAATTTGGAAAAAGAGTGGTGGAAGAAGAGATTTTCTGGTTCAAGTAGCAGCAATAGTACTGGAAGCAGTGGCAGAAATAGCAGCAGGGGCAGCAGCAGAAACAACAACAACAACAGGTAGTACATATCTTCATTTCTTTATTTTTAAAATGAATCGAATTAATTTTGAGGCGATCCACAATTTGAAGTTAATGAATTTTTCTAGAACAATAATTATAAAAGTAAAAATTATTATAACTGTGTGAGGACATCAGTCGGTTTCGGACTTCCACTTAGTTTCAGCCAAGCTTCATCCTGGTGGAGAGTCGAACCATCATCAAGAAAAGCACAAAACTTTGGGTTCCATTTCTGTTGTTGCACTAGAAGGATACTTCTTTGCTAGGTTTTCGATATATATTTGATAAAAAATTTAATATAAATATTGGATCTACTCAAAAGTTATTGATTCTAGACACCATCCAAAGTCCTAGATCTGCCCCTGATTTTTAGTACTAGTTGTGCTACATATAGCTTATGAATGTGCTAAAAGACTTGTCTTGAATTCATGGGAGTTCTCCTTTCTGCTTTTATGCATCCATTATTCAAGATTTTCTGATCGGACTTGTAAAATTAGGTTTTAGGACTAACTCACATCCTTAAAGTTAACTCAAAGGTAGGAGGATTGTTCAAGCTTTATAAGGAGACCCATCTCATTAACTACCAATGTGAGACTTTTAACATTCTTTAACAGGACTAATTCAGATTTTTGCCGCGTACAAAGCTCTAAAAGGGAAATGCTCTGTATGAGTTTTTCAATATTCAAATCCAAAATTTTTAATTAAGAACAAAGAGATCTTATACTCAATGGGCATGGAAGTGCTCTTGACATAAGTTTGTCCTAGTTTAAAGATTAAAGAGAAATTTCCAATGGATTGAATAACAGTTTCTTGAACTTTTTTGTTTGGTTCAACAGAAATTTATCCTACAATTTTTTTCTCGTCACTACTTGGATGAATGTGGGAAATCCTGCTTGCATACAAAACAGTAGAGACAGAACAGAGAATTGAATTTTTCTTTCGGATCTAAGATAGCCAGTTCTGTTACACAATTTCATCTTATCATGGTTAGAAGCTTTGCAAACTTGGCATATTACATGAAAGAAAAAATACTTCCTCCGTCTCAATCCGTATGTCACTGTTTAACGTGTCACAAAGTTTAAAAAAGAAAGAAGACAATCACTTTAGAAATGTGACCTTTTTTTCTGAAAAGACTAAAAAAGAAAGTATGTTACTAGGGAAGTTGTTAAGATAGACAATCACTTTACAGAATCTTATTTTTTAGCATATTTTTTTTACTTAATTGAAACATCAAACCATCCACCCACCCACTGAGAAAAGGAAAAGATAAGAGTTTAAATTAAGAAACACCCATACATATTTATTAAGAATTTTTTTTATTTTTTTATTTATTTCATGTAATGCAGGAAAAGGGAAGGGTTATTAAGCAGCTGTTGGTCAAGTTTATGCTTATCAGAGAAAAACAAAGTGATGACTGATTTAGATTGGTGATGCCCCTTATCTATATATGTTTTAAGTCTTGTAAAACATATACCAATAATGATATATATATGTATGTATAGTTTTGTGTTAGACTATATATAGCTATATGCCCCCTTGAATTGTTCTTTCATTTCCCTTTTGTTTCTTGGTTTGGCAAGCATTTATTTGTTATTTAGAGCAATAATTAGTTGAAGTTTGAGATCAATATATATTGGCAAGGTACTATTACATTGGACATAAGAGATCTGAAAAGGACATTCTTTGAATTAGTCTTTTAATGTTCATAGATTTTTTTTCTTCATAATGATTCGCTTATCTTGTAATGACTTGAACGAGTAGAAATATTCAAATTTTGGGGCCTTTCGATGCAATCAACCTCCATAAGAAGATATACGACAAGTGCATAACTTGTCCTTTAATTAAATCTATCACATCTAAAAATAAGAGTAATTAGTTTAGGTGTAGCTTATTATTAAGCAAATTAGTAGTTATAACTTGACCTTTCATTAAGATTCTTCTCTATATGTACGTTAATAATTTTGTGCGATTCTATTTCTAACTATATCCAAATGATTATCGACAACTAATCAGAGTTAGTTATCTGACTACAGTTATTCTAATGTCAGCTTTTTTTTAATCTTTTTTTTTTTCTTCAGATATTGTATAAAGTACAAATTAAATAGACTCAAACTTTTGTATCCAACCTATTTTTGACCTGTGAAAATATGAACGCGTTGAATTATAACTCATTTGTTAATTTGTGCAGTTTCTAATCTGTCCAAATTCAATTGAATTCACTTGTTTGCTATCACAGTGAGTTTGACTATATCGATGGTCATGAAGGTAAAGCTAACGAAGAAACTAGCAAGTAAACGTATCAAAATCGACTAAACTAAAAATAAAAAGTAAGATTTAATTCAACGTTGCATTTCTATTATTCAAGTAACAGGAGAGAGAGAGAGAGAGAGAAAGGGAAACCCAAGTACACTTTTTTCTTGATAAAATTAAATACAACTAGGTTTAGACATCCTCAATAGAAATCAAGACACCATACTTAATTCTACTTACTCATCACTGAGTACTTCAAATTAAACGGCCATTTCTAAGTATCTTTTAGTGCCTTTATTTTGCTCTAAATGCTTTGTCAAATGGTGCATTAATTCTGCATCATTGTCCTCATGTTGATGAGTTCAACCACCAACAAGGTGCATTAATACCGAAATGTATAAAATGACTACTTGTATACCGAATCAGATGGCAAAAAAGGGATGTTTGCTGCGAATTACAATTAAAATAAACTATGGCTATAACATTTAATTTGAATTAATAGTTTGCTCATACAATTTTCCCTACTTTGTTTTCCCTAAATACATATCTTGCACCTAATATGGGCCTTTAAGGGAGTTGGAAACATGGGCTCAAGATGAGTGGTGGTTAGAAGTGGCAAAAATGGCCCAAGCCCATTTAACCCATTGTTGCTTAATGTTGTTTATGATAGTGATTTTTAGTGGCTTAATTTATTATTTTTCCCTAACTATGAAATTGTGATCACTAAGTTATTCAAGAAAATGCAACAATTAACAGAAGGCGCCGTCTGAAATTAATGACACAAATATTATCATTAATTTTCCCAAAGATATTGAATTAAATATACTATTAACTGTAGATATTCAGAATTATGTATTGTGATTATATGGTTATACCTAGTTACTGGTTTACATGTTATAATTAAATTATGTAAAACATTTATTTATCCAAGTAGGTCTACATTTGAAAATTTGTAATGAGATCGTTGAATTTTTGCTGTTGCTTTAATTAACAGGGTAAATAGTGTTTATTGATGTCTATTTTTTGGTATATCTTGGAAATTTATATTTGCGACAAAATATAACAACTAAAATACATGTAATCAATATTAAATATTCTTATAGCTATGTAATTATGAATTATGAAAAAAATCCTAAAAATAAAAAACAAAAATTGGGAGGTTGTCATTAGATTCAATCCAACGTGCTTAAATTTCCAAAGTGTTCATTTGCTAGAGTCCGGAGCCAAAAGGGTAATTTTTTTCCTCTAAAAAATATAAACGGTATATCAAATTTTTTTTAACCAAAACGGTAAAATTGCTACTGAGGGAGCGATATATTTTAACACCGCATACGCTGTTAAAAACTTTATTTAACGATTTTGTCCAAAAGTTTTTTTTTTTTTTTATAAAATTGCTGCCTCAGCAACGTTATCCTAAAAAAAAAAAATAATCTTAACTCGCTTCTTCAGCAGCGTTTTTGCAAAAAAAAATAAAAGTAAAAAATCTCCAACTTGAATTCGCTGCAATGGCAGCAATTTTCCAACTTTTTTAAAAAAAATTTATCTTTGCTTTGGCAGCAATTTTCCTTGATGTTTAAAGAAAAAAAATGGATAAGGCAGCCGTTTAAAAAAAAAAAATTAGAAAAACTGTCACACCCCAAAACCAGATGTGATGGCACGTGCCCAAACCCCACCGGACACGTCAGCCTAACACCCAAAAACCCGACGATACAGAATTTATAAAACAAGAATAAGATAGAAAGATAAGCGGAAGTCTTTAAATAAACTCAACATAACCCCAGAATTGGTTGTCACATGTACAAACCTCTAATACAGAATCTGAATAAAATATACAAGTCTCATAGTAAAGTTCTAGAATAGAACAGAACAGAACAGTAAATATAAATAACTTGAGGGCACGTCTGGAATGAACCGCTACCTCTCAAGTAAGTCTGGAAGCTCTAATCTGAAGATGAGTAATAAGCCGGATCTGATAGAGCTGTCAACCTACACAACTGTGTAGAAGCAAGGGTGAGTACCAAAAGCAACAGGTACTCGCAAGTAACACTAAACTAAGCTAAACTAGCAGCTACAAACAACTCATTTCAATCCCAACCGAACCACCGAAACTTCATTCTAACAACGAACCAACAACCTATACTACACAATTCATAATCAACAGATATATCCAACAGTGTCTCAACATCAACCTCATATCCTCATGTAAGAGCAAATAGATCATATATCACATGAAAAGGGGCAAATAGGAAAAATCCACACACCACAGACAAAGATGAAGTCAAATGCGATGCAAATGCAATAATGATGTCATGTAGTCGTGATGTATGTCTGTCCTAAGATACACATCTGTTGACGTAATCAGACCGCGCTGAATACTCAAATCAGAACCCATGGGGGCCACATATGGACCATGTATCACCGTCGGAACCAGATCCCATCGGCATCCAAATTGCTAACCGGAGCTAGTCCATCTCATATATCTCTAGCCGGAGCTAGTCTCAACTGTGTCTCATATCCATCCATCCTCATATCAGTGTCTCAGAACTCATGCAACAGATAGTTCACACATGGGATGAATAATGAATATGCACATGTCATCAATCACAATCATTTCACGATCACATCATAGTATTACACATCATCTGTCTCAATCACAACCATATCGCGATCACATCATAGTATTACACATCATCTGTCTCAATCACAACCATATCACGACTACATCATAGTATTACACATCGTCTGTCTCAATCACAATCATATCACGACCACATCATAGTATTACACATCATCTGTCTCAACATCAATGTCTGTATCAATCATAGCCTACTCATGCTCTTCTATCCCCTCAATATCAGTTATCACATGACTTATTCAACAAATTCAAGTCACATATAACTCATTTAGCTCGTTTTATTCCCCATCTTTCAATTACAACAATTTCAATCAACAAATAAAACTCATCCTCAATCCCCATTACTCCCCAACACAATTAGGAAAGTAGTCATGTGTAGTCTAAGAGTTTAACAAAGTTTAGAAGTCACTTGCCTCAAAACACTTCAACTAGTAATTCAAATTTGAGTTTTACCCTTCCGAGCATGCTCCAAATCACCACAATCTATTCATAAATGGAATCTCACAATCAATACGAATCTAACAACACCAATATCGTGAAATTTGGAGAAAAGGGTAAAATGGTCAAAAAAATCTCGTTCCGAAAAATATTCTCGAAATCTGGAAATTTTTAGTGAAAAATGTTCCCCAAGAAATTTAGAATCCAATAGTGAAAACCGTTTCGAAAAAGGAGTTGAAATGAGTTCACAAACTCAAATTTTCTATTAAATTCGGATTAGGCAAAACCCCCAAATTTTTCAGTTGAGATCTCAAATTTTGATGTTAAAATCCATAAATAATCAATGGAAATCAAAGATATAAGTTGGAAATAACTTACCCAATGAATTTCTTGCGAAAACCCACTTGAAATCACCTATTTTCGAGCTCTCAAAGTCAAAAAATGGAGAAATGGGTATTTTTCAAGTTGGGGGAAAATGACTATTGTTTTTTGACTTAAAAAGGACTGCTATTGCAGCTGAAACACAACAATAACACCAAAGTTTAAGTCCCCGTTGGATCCTCGGGATTCGTTCGGAATCTCGTGCACACAAACTAAATATGTACCCCCACTAAATTCGACGTTCCGGACTCAATGGAACCGTCGGAATTTGAATTCGAGGACTCCTTGACCCGAATTTCAATAAGATGCCAAGAAACTAGTTTAACGCCAAAAAAATTCGAAACTCAAACGGAGCGTCTAAAAATTCAACCAAGACTCATTCTAGACTTAGAATCGCCTCCTGAAACCAACGGTACTCTCGGAATTTCAATCTGAGCCTCGGAACCTCATATGTTGACCAAAGTCAACTCTTTATCAAAATTTCACAACTTTAGCAACTTAGGACCTCAATTCTTCGTTTCAACTCCAAATTCGACTCCGTAACTTCACAGAGACCCGTTTCGACATTCTAAAACTGCTGGAATCGACGGAAATCCGATCCGAGTCCCGAAACTCCAAATGACTCGAAAAAGCACTTTTTAACCAACTTTAACTCATAAAAACTCAACTTCTCAAAAACTCAACTTTTTACCAACTTTTCCTCAAACCAACTTTACAACCACAAAACATGGGACTCGGGGCAACTACCGAAAGGGCAAAATAGTCATTTCCACGAAAAATTACCAAAATGACCTTTCGGGTCATTACAAAAACTCTGCAGAGGCAGCGATTTTAGGAAAACAATTATTTTTTTTTTGACAAAATAGCTGCTCCAGCAGCGACTTTGAATGAAGGCTTTAACGGTGCCCGACATACGTTAAAAGATATCGCTCCCTAGGGAGTGATTTTACCGTTTTGGTAAAAAAATAATTTGGCATACCGTTTATGTTTTTTTGAGAAAAAAATTGTCCTTTTGACTCCGAACTATTATCTAGTGAATTATATACGCAGGCTTCATACAAACCTAATAAATAAAATATATGTCTATATTTGATGTTATATCTAATTAATAGACTTATTCCTTTGTTTCAATTTATTCAACACATTTCAAATTTTGAGATTTAAACAAGTCTATATTTTACCGTAAATTTTTCGTATGTTTTAAATAATTGGAATTGTCAATTAGTATGATTTATATTACATTTTACGTAGTTTACAAATATATAAATTTCATTTTAAAAAAATTGAAGATTTCATGAGTAAATTCTCAGTCAAACTTAAGTTGTTTGACTCTCGAAAAATAAAATGTATTACTCCCTCTGCCCCAATTTATGTGACACTTTTCGTTTTTTGAGAGTCAAACAATTTAAGTTTAACCGGAAAGTTGCGCATGGAATCTTCAGTTTTTTTGAAATGAAATTTATATATTTGTAAACTACGTAAAAAGTACTATAAGTCACAAAAATTAATAATTCAAAATATTTAAAAGATTTATAAAAAATTTACGATCAAAGATAGACTTGTTTGAATCTCAAAATCCAAAAAATACCACATAAAATGAGACGGAGAAGAGTACATAAATTGAGACAAAAAAAAGTACTCCCTCAGTCCCATTTTATGTGGCACTTTTCAGATTTCGAGATTCAAACTAGTCTATCTTTGACCATAAGTTTTTCATAGATTTTTTAAACATTTTAAATTATCAATTATTGTGACTTATAGTACTTTTTACGTAGTTTACAAATATATAAATTTCATTTCAAAAAATTTGAAGATTCCATACGCAAATTATCGGTCAAACATAAATTATTTGACTCTTGAAAAACGAAAAGAGCCACATAAAATGGGACAGAGGGAGTAATATATATATTTGTACATGAATTTTCAGTTATTTAATTAGTTATAATAAATTTATGTGATTTGATGCAGACAGAAGATTGGAAGTTTTTCTTGTCTCTTCGATCGAGAAAACTTATTGTTGCTGAGTGTACATTGAATAAAATTTGTTTAGAGTGTATAATAGTTCGTAAATCACACAAAAAAAAATATATCATACATTTGATGCGATGAACTCAATTGAAAACACATAGTAGGGAAAATCAATCTATGATCTCCTTTATGGAATTCACTACAAGAGAATAGTAAAATTGTGACAGACGATTCTGTCACAAATTAACATTTGTGACGGAAAAATGGACGTCCCAGAACCTGGGGTCATAAACTCATTGTGACAGATTTCAATTCCGACACAAAATTATTGTGACGGCATAGTGACAGACCTGACGGTGACAATATAAATCCTTGTATTTGACTTAAATTCTGTCACAAATTTGAGATAGAATTTTGGACTGAATATTTCGTTACAAAATAGTGCCGGAATAGTTTCTGTAACAAATTTCTAAATATATTCACAATATTTGTGACGGAATATTTCGTTACAAGTAAATTGTGATGGAATATTTTGTCACAAAATTATTCTGTTGTAGATATTAGTATCAAATTTAGAATTAATTGTGACAGATTACATCCATCACAAATTTGATTTTAATTTAATAAATAATAATTGCTATATGTAGTAGTGGACAATTATTATTATTTTATATATATATATATATATATATATATATATATATATATATAGAGTAAATTAGTCAAAAACATAAAAATAATTAACCACCATGATATAACAAACATAATATTAGATTTATAATACAAAATTATGATGTTAAAACATGTCAAAGCACAACTTCAATAAGCAAAAGTGTACAAATATTTAAACACATAAACATTTGGTCATTTCCTTTTAAGGAGAAGGATTACTAGTTGAGCGTGAGGATAACGCCATCCCGCTCATCATGCGAGACCATCGTTCCTCCATAGACTTGAATTGATCATCACTTTGTTGCCTCAAATGCGAGACCGCGTGCTCTACTCGTTGTTGCACCTCTGCCTCTAAACGTTCTTGAAGAATTCTATCTTGATTTTCTCTCATATGCAACACTTCTTCCTCAAGTAGTTTAATGCGCTCTTCAGCAACATCATCAGACACCGCAGGTAAATTGCGCGAAGTGACAAAATTTTGATCTTGATACAACGTCAAACCTTGAGAGCCTAAACCATACACACGTCGTTTTTTTTCTCCACCCACAACATCAAAGTATAAGCTATTTATATCAAGTTCTTGAACTTCTTGTGAATCATCTGAGGAGCTAGAAATAGCAGCAGCTAAGACAACCTCCATTTTATCCTGAAAATTTTTAAACAATCAACCACCAAAAACTCAAGCTTTCCACAAATATGTGCATATTAAGTTGCTTCTAGCAACTCTATAAAAAAAATGCACCCAAAAGACAACACAAACTCTTTAAACAGAACAAAATCTGCCCCCAATATGGCATAAAATCTATAAAAAAAAAAGGCACACAATTTGCTTCAAATTGCATTAATAACTGTCCAAATAATTACTCAACATTTGATAAAAAAAAAGTATGATAAAAATCTACACAAAAAAACAGCACAAAATCTACCCCAAAAAAGCACAAAATCTATCAAAAAAGGCACAAAATCTACTTCAAAATTGCATTAAAAAACTGCTCAAATAATTGCAAAACATATGATCAAAAGTATGATAAAAATCTGCTCAAATTTGCACCAGAAACAGCACAAAGAGCTGCACAAAACAGCACAAAGAGCTGCCACAAAAAAGGCACAAAATCTGCCACAAAAGAGCTGCCACAAAATCTGCCACAAATAAAGGCACAAATCCTATCCACAATAGCACAAAATCTTCTTCAAAATTGCATTAAAAAATTGCCCAACAAAACAGCACAAAGAGCTGCCCCAAAAATTTGCTCAATTGCAACACAAAACAATTATAGCAAATCTTCTTAATAGCAACAGACACAACTGCATAAAATCTACCTTTTTCTTTTTTAAAATCTTCACAAAATAAGGATCAGTCCTACAATGTTTGGTTAAAGAAGAGCAACACACACAACTTACATTAATGCATTTAGACTTGGCATCAACAAAACTGTCATCTTTTCTTTTATGCAACTTCTTAAATATATCCCACGAATTTGGTGGATGACGTAGTTCTATTGCCTAAAAAACAGAGTTTAATATTAAAATAAGAGATAAGATTAGAAAAATATTATAGAAAGTGTTAAATTTGGTACCAATTTTATAGTATGCTCCACTGTTGATCTAGAACCACCGGTATGCTTGCTTGGACTAGTGCCTAGTCCACCAGTCTCACTACATCGATTTCGAATGGCGATACAAGATTTATCCATCCATTCATCTGAGGCCCAATGCGTCTTCCAACTTCTCCAAATATCCTCCAAAACAAAATTAGGTTTGACTGTACCTTTTCGCCAAATATACATTTTCTTGGAGTTTAAAGTGGATGCCACCTTATTCCATGTACGTTCCATTATAGAATTCTCAGTAGGATTCCACTGATATGATTTCTGGAAAAAAATTACTTAGTGAAATAAACACATAGAGATATATATTAAATAAATTACTTATAAATTTTAAATATAAAGCAATAGTTACCAAAAATTCATGCCAATAAAATTTACGAGTTGATTGACTGACATTCTTCCATGAGTAGCCAGTAGCATCTTGTCGTTCCTTGAAAGTTTATGTGATGGTCTTCGAGATAGAATGACCATTAGGAAAAAATCTGAAATAAAATTAAAAATAAATAACACATTTCATAATACTTATATTAGAAAAAATTAGATCAAGTATACAAAAATATCTTTTCTTACTTTTCCGCTACAACTGAGATGACCAACCGAGCAGATGTTGATGAGCAACTAGGAGACCCAATAGAGACATCTGGAGTACTAGGAGTGGTTGGAGTACTAGGACCAGTAGGAGAACCAGCATTTGATGATGGCGTATCACTCATATTCTTAAATTTTTATTACCTAGACCTTGAACAATTGCAGCAACAAAATTCTTGATAAAAAAAATCAACTAGCATTCAAATTATATTAGTTCATTTTGTAGATATATAATATAAGATGCCCAACACAAATCACAAGATATAATAACAAAACTAAGAAAATGAAAATCACTTGTAGCATAAAACAGTACATTCAACTTTAGATTAATAGAAAAACTAAATTTAAAAACTTCAAGTGACATTAATCTCTACACTTTCTTCTCTTTTTGTTTTGATGTTCATATTCTTCTTTCCCTTCCTCGTTGTCGTCATCATCATCATCATCATCATCATCCTCATCCTCATCCTCATCATCATTCTCCTCCTCCCCATCATCCTCATCATTGTCACTATCCTCATTATTTTCTTTCATCTACCTCTCTTCCTCTATCATCTCTCCCTCCTCCTCCTCCATGTCAATAAAAACACCATCTGGATCATTCAATATATGAGGTGTTTCATCTTCACAAATATCAATTTCATGCATTTGACTGTTATCCTCTTGAAAAGCTAGATCATTCAGTGTATGAGGTTTTTCTACTATGTTTGGAACATCTACAATTGAACGTGCCTTTATCTGACAAACAGCTAACCAATCATTATGTGTCCTCTTTACTGAAGGATAGGTTTCAAAATACACCTAAGAAGCTTGCACAGTCATAATAAATGGCTCATATTTATTAAAAGTTCTTTTTCTGTTAACATCATCAAGATTATATTGTGGATATACTCTTGTACCATGTTTTGGTGTTGGATCAAATCAAGAACATTTAAATAATATGGTTCGCTTAAATGGTAATGCATGATACTCTAGCTGCAGAATTTATGTCAATATACCATAATAATCGATCTCATCTACACTGTGACTAGAGCCCTTAATGCATATACCACTATTCATTGTAGATTTATTTGAACCGTATTCTTCAGTGTGAAATTTGTAACCATTTACAACATATCCATTAAAGGGTTGAACCTTATGCAGTGGCCCTTCTGCAAGAACTTTCATGAATTGATTGGTAATGCCGGATGAAGGATCACGTGCCTATTGACATTATAAGTAATTAGGCATACATTAAGATTATATTGAATTTACTATATAGATTAATTTTGATCTATTAGTACTTACGTATTGATTAAACCAAGACGCAAACTCTGTTTCAAGTTTAGCATCAATCTCGCTATCTTGAATACATGGTTGTATTTGTCTCAAGGTATCCTCAAAAATTCTAAAGAAAAAAAGCTAATTTATTTCAATAACTTCAAATGTAAATAATATGTATATCTAGATCATGGTAATTAACTTACTTTATATATGTTTTCACTTCATCACAATTCAACAAAATATATATGCGAGCTGCATGATATTCTCTATCATCTAACCTTCTTATTTTCTTTTTACCAAAACCACGACCAACATGCTTGAAAATAGACAACATTTCAGGATGGTCCACTCTAACCCCACCATCATCCGCATTTCGTGGCACTTTTCTATATCTTGTCGAAATGTCTGACTTAAAGTAGTGCGTACAGAGTGTTGATGATTATTTAACCAAACATGTGTTGCGTATACAACCTTCAACTCTATTCTTATTTTTGATATCATACTTCACCCCATGGAGTTTCCTTCAAACATAATGTAAGTATATGTTAATATAGTATCACTAGTATATTTATATATCTTATAATATATAATTAACTTAAGTTACCTTTCACATGGATACATCCATCGTTCTTGAACTGGGCCTGCTAAACGTGTTTCATAAGCTAAATGGATGGGAAGATTTTTCATAGAATCCTAGAAGCTTGGAGGAAAAATGAGCTCAAGCTTAGTCAAGATGAGAGGAATATTTCTTTCTAATTGTCTCATGTGTTCCTTAGTTATTGAGGTAGAAACGAGATCTTTAAAAAAAAGACTCAACTCTGTCAATGGTTTCCACACATTTCGTGGAAGAAAATCTCGAAATGCAATAGGTATGAGCCGTTGCATAAATACATGACTATCATGACTCTTCATACCAAAGAATTTAAGCTTGTTCATGTCAACACATCTTCCCATGTTAGACACATAACCATCAGGAAATCTCAGCTCTTGCAACCACTTACAAAGCACTTTTTTGGCATTATCATCTAACATGTAACAAAATTTCGGATACTTTTTAGTAGTTTCATCCTGATGCAACTCTGGACGATTGCAAAGTACTTTTAAATCTTCTCTAGATTTGGCATTGTCCTTTGTTTTTCCCTTGACATTCATGATGGTGTTAAAAATGTTATCAAACACATTTTTTTCTATGTGCATCACATCAAGGTTATGCCTAATAATATTTGTTTTCCAGTAAGGCAAGTCCCAAAATATACTTCTTTTCTTCCAACCACATAAGCTACTCTTTGAGATTCTTGCATTCACCTTGTCAGAACAAAGTTCTGTCACTTTCATGAGTCCCAAATCCTCAATCTCCCTAAGTATTTGTAAACCTGATTATTTAGTAGATGCAACCTTATGTACTATTTGACCCTTCTTGAACCACTTTTTGTTTTTTCGCCATGGATGATCTGGTGGTAAGAACTTTCTGTGATTGTCAAACCATGAGACTTTTCTACCATTGGATAGTAAAAAAGCATCAGAAATCTTTCATGCAATAAGGACAAGCTAATTTTCCTGCTGTACTCCAACCCGACAACATTGAGTACGCTGGAAAATCACTTATTGTCCACATCAATGTAACTTGCATTTGAAAATTATTTTTACTTGAAACATCATATGTTTAGACTCCCACTTCCCATAACTCTTTCAACTCTTCAATGAGGGGTTGGAAAAAGACATTAATTTTCTGTTTTGGATTTTTTGGACCAGGTACAATCACAGATAAATACATGTATTCATCCTTCATGCACATCCAAGGTGGTAAATTATATGGTGTAACTATCACAGGCCAAGAGGAATATTGTTGGCCTGATTGACCAAATGGTTGAAACCCATCAGTAGACAAACCCAATCTAACATTTCTAACTTCAGATGCAAAATGTGGATACGTCTGATCAAAATGCTTCCAAGCAGGAGAGTCCGAGGGATGACGTATGACACCATCTCTTTCATGCTCTGAATGCCATCTCATATGTTTTGTTGTTGCATTAGATGCATACAACCTTTGTAGCCGTGGAGTTAAAGGAAAATAATACATCTTCTTATAAAAAATATTAGTTTTCTTCTTGGAACGTCGATGTTTTGATCTCTTAAATCAAGGATGAGAGCAAAATTTGCAATTGATTAGTTCACTGTCCTTACGCCAATAAAGCATACATCCATTTTTGCAACAATCAATCTTCTCGATTGGCAAGCCTAATCCCCGCATTAGCTTTTTAGTACCATAGAAGCTATCGATCATTTTGTTATCACTTGGCATCAATTCTGATATAAACTGACATAACTCATCATACAAACTTTCCGAAAAATGATGTTCTGCCTTAAGATTCAACAAACGAGCAACAACAGACAATTGTGTATGTCCATGTGGATTTCCCGTCCAAATCTCTTGTTTCGATGCTTTGAGCGTATCATAAATATGTTGTGTTGTTGGATTTGGGTCCTCTTCCACGTTACCATTATAAGAAGGCCCATCAACATCAAAAACCATTGACTGGAATGCATTATGGGATTGAGGATTCACGGTTTCACCAGAAACTTCTTCTTGATGATCATTAAGCACACTTGGATTTGAAATATAACTTTCTCCATGGTGATACCAACGATAATAATCTGGTACAAAGCCATAAGTTCCTAGATGTGTTATGACTGTAAACTCATCCAAAATATTTTATTTTGACACTTACGATGATTACAAGGACATCTTAACTTCTCACCATTCATGCACTGTGGATGTTTTTCTGCAAATGCAACAAACTTCTCAACTCCATCAATAAACTTTGGATTTATGAATCCATCTTCCAGTATTCTAACATACATCCACTCACGATCAGAGTTACTCATATTATATACTCTGACACAAATAATAAATGTGATAAAACTTACATGATGACTACTAATTTTTATATGACACTAGAACCTAGAAGTAGCAAAATATAATGAATTCAAATTCATAAACAATCAATTAATCACCAAAAGTTATAGTAGTTAGTGTTATACAATTTAAATGTACACTAGAAATAATGTACTATTTTATTTTAAATAATACTACATGTCAAGGTGATCATATAAAAACATATATGCCAAAGATGTATTCAAATTATAAGCTTCATTCTACTCATACGACACCAATATCATTTTTAGTGATAACATCCAAAGTTTTGCAAAACATTTATAGCAAATTACTAATAATG